AACATTTTTTAATAAATTACCCAAGAAAACCCAGGACAAATTAGGCTAACTTGAAATGTTAATAATTTTTTTATTTTAAATGAAACACCCTGTATGTTTTTACATAATCAAATGGAAAATTAAAAAAATATTTCAATGGATGTAATTGTTAAATATCTCTGAAATTATTAACTTTAGGTATAGGGAACTCGAAAACTATTTACTATTGGAAATGATATAGTAATTTTACTAATTGAAATAACAAAGTTCCGGTTAAACCGGAAGTGGCATTTTGTTCAAAATATTTAAAAAAATAGAAATAAATGGATTACAAAAGCTTTTAAATTTCAAATCGATATTTTTTTCCGTTCCCCAGAAACTTCCAATGGACCACGAATGTGAAACACCCTGTAGGTATATCAGTTGTGTTTTTAGGTTGTGATACCAGATTCTAAAGCAATGTATAATCGTCAAACTAAAAGATGAAGATTTGTTTCCAACATATATTTAATAAATAATATTAAGATAAATACAACTCTGTTATTTTATTTTAAAAATTAAAACCATAAATATTTTTTTTTACTTAAAAAAATTAAAATTGTTATTTTCTTTAAGTATAATTTTTGTTTTATGTAAAAAATAAAATATTTGAAGAAAAAAATTATTTATAACAAAATAGAGAGTTAAAAATCTGTTTAGGTTAAAATAATAAGAAAGGCTGTGTAAAAACGTTTTTTAACCTTTATTTTTAAAATCTTTTCAAATTTTTCATGGGAGGAAAATCCTGTTGAACTGTGAATCGGTGACACTACAAAAATTTTATTTTAACAAATCATTTTCTAAAATCAATTTTAAAGTTCAAAATGCATTTTTGTGAGAAATTACAAATTATAATTATTATACAAAATATGATTATTATATTTTATAAGATAGTTAAAATATTTTCACAAAAATGCAGTTTCAAAAATAATTATAATTATAAAACGGACTTTATAAAATAGTTGGGCCAACTTTTGGACCTTAATCTCACCGATTCAATTGTAACTACGTTTCATGTTTCGTTTACAAATAAAATCGTGCCTTAAAGACAAAATGTTGTACGCCATTCGGTTGAGACGTGTTTTTTTGTGCTTCGCTTAATTTTACTCCAAAAGTCCAAAAAGACACTTCTCAGCCTAATGACATACCCAACTATTTTTGGATTAATACTTACTTTTTCACCTTAATTTGACCTGTGTAATTAGCGCCCTCTGGGAGTACCATAAAAATAATTGGTACCAATTTGTATTTCTTGTCCTTAAAAATTATACTGTACATATTTTGGGTTTGACACATTGAATTGTTTTCCAAATATTACAAATTTTTAAAAACATAATTTCCCAAAAAACTTGCTGAAAGATAGTATGTTCCACGCATCAGTCACACTACGTGACTTTCATAGAAAAATTAAGGGTAATTTTCTGTATGTTAAGCTAATTTCGTTCTATTTTCTGAAACCTTATTTACTTTTGACATATTTAACTTGAATTTTCAACATCATTAGTTTATTTCCAACTTTAATTTAAAAATAATTTAGCTTTTCTTTTGCAAACATGTAGAATATTCAATTAAATTTTTCTTGGAAATCTATCATTATTAAGTTGATTTTAAATAAATGCAAATTTCGGGAAAATTTAATACGAGAGTAATTTTAAAAACGAATAATATCTGCATTATATATTTTATTAATTTTAAAAGTAAACGTTAAATGTTTTTTTTCTACTCCCACCTTTAAAACGCCCTTTATCGTACATGTTTCCATGACACTAAGTGACCTTTTAAATACACATTGACAAGTTGTGGCTTTACGGCGCTTTAGTCACGGGCTGAAGTTAGCAACAGGTTTTTAGTCACGGGCTGAAGTTAGTTTTAAGTTAGTTGACAGTTGTCAAATGTCATACAATCGTTAAAATAAAGTGCCTTTCTTGTAAAATAATACTAAATGTGAAAATTATTTTATTATCTCAATACAAAAATATTAAATAGTTTCTCAACGCCAATATTTGAAAAGTTTATATGAACATTGTACTGACCTTTTAATTTCGCCAGCAGTAAATTATAACTTAAATTCGGGCACGGACTCATACTGTAAAGTCCTCATAAAACATTTCCTTTACTATCACTGTGAAAAACTGTCAATTTTCAAAATAAATTTCGATTTTATAACCTTTATAATTGTGTTTATAAAATGTCAAAATGTGACATTTGACAGTTTCCCCTGTTGTTTCATAGATGGCGCTCTATACAAATTTTTGATTTATATCATTTTAAGATAATAATAAGTATTTGTCGTAGAAAAAGTATAGTATGCACCTCGTTTATAAACTTTTCTATACACTCATTAACTTAAGCACTCGCTCGCAAGCTCTCTCGTGCCTAAATTAAATTCGTGTATAAAATGGCGTTTATCAAACTTGATACATAATATACTATTTTCTACTCCCACCTTTAAAACGACCATTATCGTACATGTTTCCATGACACTAAGTGACCTTTTAAATACACATTGACAAGTTGTGGCTTTACGGCGCTTTAGTCACGGGCTGAAGTTAGCAACAGGTTTTTAGTCACGGGCTGAAGTTAGTTTTAAGTTAGTTGACAGTTGTCAAATGTCATACAATCGTTAAAATAAAGTGCCTTTCTTGTAAAATAATACTAAATGTGAAAATTATTTTATTATCTCAATACAAAAATATTAAATAGTTTCTCAACGCCAATATTTGAAAAGTTTATATGAACATTGTACTGACCTTTTAATTTCGCCAGCAGTAAATTATAACTTAAATTCGGGCACGGACTCATACTGTAAAGTCCTCATAAAACATTTCCTTTACTATCACTGTGAAAAACTGTCAATTTTCAAAATAAATTTCGATTTTATAACCTTTATAATTGTGTTTATAAAATGTCAAAATGTGACATTTGACAGTTTCCCCTGTTGTTTCATAGATGGCGCTCTATACAAATTTTTGATTTATATCATTTTAAGATAATAATAAGTATTTGTCGTAGAAAAAGTATAGTATGCACCTCGTTTATAAACTTTTCTATACACTCATTAACTTAAGCACTCGCTCGCAAGCTCTCTCGTGCCTAAATTAAATTCGTGTATAAAATGGCGTTTATCAAACTTGATACATAATATACTATTTTCTACTCCCACCTTTAAAACGACCATTATCGTACATGTTTCCATGACACTAAGTGACCTTTTAAATACACATTGACAAGTTGTGGCTTTACGGCGCTTTAGTCACGGGCTGAAGTTAGTTTTAAGTTAGTTGACAGTTGTCAAATGTCATACAATCGTTAAAATAAAGTGCCCTTCTTATAAAATAATACTAAATGTGAAAATTATTTCATTTTCGCAATACAAAAATACAAAAACATCAAATAGTTTCTCAACGCCAATATTTAAAAAGTTTATATGAACATTGTACTGACCTTTTAATTTCGCCGAAAGTAAACTATACCTACAGGGTGTTATGTAATTAATGTTATATATTAAAATACTGAATACCTTTTGACATAAGGAATAAAGGAAAAATATTAAAAAAAACATTTTTCCAAAGATAAAGAAAAAATATGCATTAGAAGTTTTTTATATTTTTTGTGATACGCCACTGGTTACACACTTGTTTATCTCTGCACACCTGTATTTTGTGAGTACATAGATACCAACCAACAAAGTAGCTATGGGTTGCCAGATGTAAAAAATTGTTACTAAAAATTTTTCTTGCAAAAAATAAATAAAAACCCAATAAATACAAAAGTTTTATGCCCTTAAAGCTCTAATACCCTTCTGTATTTATTTACTGATCCAGCTATTAGCTTAAGCAATGATTAGAAAATTTAGTACCTTTGAAATTTGAAATCCATAACCACAAAATTAATTTTTTCATCAGTTTTTTTCTATGTTTACTCAGATGAAATTGGGACCAGTTCACAGGTTTAACTTTAAACATTTAATTTGTGTAAATAAATCCAAAAGCACTTTAAGATATCTACAATTTGAAAACATAACCTAAAATTTAAAAGAAATGCACTAGATTCTGTCATAAAAGTTGTCAGATTTTGTTTGAATTTACCTTCAGTACAAAAATGAAATAACCAACAATTAATAAAAACCCCAAATTGACAATTTGCATTGTTAATTTTGTCATTTTTGTAATTAAGCTAAATTTAAACAATGCTTGCCAACTTTTTTGAAAGATTTTGGAAACAGTTGTTATCAACCATAACATAATAAATCCACCAGATTAACCTAAAGTTCCTAGTCGATCAGTGGCGTACTTTTTGGTAGGATAAAGGTTATTATAAATTATTTTTAGACTTTGGAATTTAGAAAAAAAAGTTTCAGGTGCTTCTTTATGGACCCTAAGGAACAACCCATTTTAATATATAACATTAATTACATAACACCCTGTATAGGTATAACTTAAATTCGAGCTCGGACTCCACCGTGAAGTGCTCATAAAACATTTTCTTTACTTTCACTGAGAAAAACTCTTGTTAATCGATTTTCAACGAAAATATTTCGATTTATAACCTTTATAACATAGAAAATTTGACATTTGACGGTACCTAACACAGATTCCCCTATTGTTTTATAGATGGCGCTCTATACAAATTTTTGATTTAAATCATTTTAAGATAATAATAAGTATTTTTTCGTAGAAAAAGTATAGTATGCACCTCGTTTATAAACTTTTCTCTACATTCATTAATTTAAGAACTCGTGTATAAAATGGCGTTTATCAAACTTGATACATAATATACTATTAAAGAAAATCGAAAATTATTAGATCTTTTTATAGTAGGTATCTAATAGTAAAAATTTTATCTGGCATCTCTTAAAAAATTGTGTTACACACTACTGAAGTTATTATATTATTTTTATGTTTTACTCAGCGCAGTTTTTTAATTTTTTAGACTCCGGCAAGCCACGGTCTGGTGGCGCTCCTCTGATCAACACTTTCGCAATGAACATGAACGCCAGCACCGAGGGACAATTACGATCCCGAAGGAAAGCCGCTAAAATGCTTGTCTGCGTCGTGGTTATGTTTGCCATCTGCTTTTTGCCAGTACATTTGTTGTCAGTTTTAAGGTAAGCCGAACAATATAACTAAAGCTTCTTTTTATATACCTATCAAAATAAAAAATGTACTTGTACTATGGCCAGAGCTGCAAGCTCTCAGAAAACTTAAATCGTTTTTTTGATTTAAATCGTTTTAATGACTTAAGTCATTTGGTAATAAGTCATTTCTCTAAAACTGACTTAAGACTTAAAATTTAAGTAGTTTTCAAAATGATTTATGACTTAAATATTTTTTCAAAATAGAAAAAACTTAAGTCATTAATAAAAGGCTTAAATCAGTACATACGATTTAAGTAAGATAGAAACGATTTAAGTCAAAAAAAGAATTAAGTCTTTTTAAAAGTCGGTAAATTATTTAAGTATTTTAAAAAGATTTAAGTCTTTTTAGAAAATATTTAAGTCAGATTTTTCATATATTTTTTGTAAATTTTTAACAGCGGCATTTTCTTTTGAACTGCCAGGGGTTCACGCGGCAGCAGATCAAAAACTCCTTTAATTTCCTACCTACAATTGCTACCGCTAGTAAATAAAAAAACCGCCGCGGTAAAGTTAGCTTTTCGGAACCGTTTGACGGCTACATTAAAAAGTGTCCTGTCTAAAATGAATGAAAAAAAAGTGGGAATTTATAATTTTGTTATTTTGTTTGCTAACATTCGTCGTATTATGCGTGCAGTTAGGTCTAATTTGTGATTATTAGTGTGGAAACAAACGATTAACAGGTAAGGACGAATAAATATTATAAAGACGTGTTTATATCATACAGGGTGTTTCGGTTTGTTTAAGTAAATAATTACGACAAAAAAACGTGATTGTGCGTGAATAAAATTATTCAAACGTGATTGTGCGTGAACGTGAGTAGTCTTAAATTATTACAGTCGTGAGTGGTCGTAAATCGTGAACAATCGTGAATCGGGAGTAGTCATGAGCGGTAGTGAGCAGTCGTGAATCGAGAGTTTGGAACCTCCCATCATTACTCCCTTAAGGGAGGAATATTTTTTTTCTAGATGGATGTTGAACCAGCTAACAAAAGTTAACAAAACAACAAGTTATCAGTTTTTGAACTACAGCGATTTTAAGAAAAATGCTTAAACTTTTATCTATTTTAACAGAATTTGAATCTATTACTGTTTAAAAGTTACCCATTTATGAATATAAAAAAGTACCCTCCCTGTATGTCTACTCTACTAAAAAAGGTGGTTTAAGTTTTTATTTTGATTGTCTACTATATACTCAAAAAATGTGTTTTAAGTTTTTATTTTGTTTGTAAGTGAAAATAAATCGTTTTAAATTCTTAACATGGTGGTTTATTATCATCTGTATCTACAATAGATTAATAATATCAGTATCATTAATACCATAAAATTATTATTAACATTTAAAAATCGTTGTAATGACTTAAGGGTAATTATTTTGATTTAAATCACAATTTTTGATTCAAGTCATTTTATTGACTTAACTCTTAGATCACGATTTAAATAAAAAATATACACTTAAATCATAAAAACGACTTACTAAAGGAATTAAGTCATAAGATGACTTAAATCACTTTATATTGATTTAAGAATTTGCGAAAATGACTTGACTTAATACTTAAATCATTTGAACTTTAACTTGGAATTGACTTAAGATTTAAATCATTTTGATTTTAGAATTGACTTAAGACTTAAGATTTAAGTCTTTTTAAAACTGACTTGTTGCAGCTCTATGGCATTGTTAAATTGACGAAGAAACATTAAAAAAAATATTTACAATTTATACAATAAAAAATTATTTAGGTACAATAATAATTACGCAGTTGTTGATATTAGAAAGGACAATATCTTTGTTGTCATGTTTTTCATTGACAGTTTCTGCTATTTTCACTTAAGGATGATGTTAAAGAATCATTGTCCAATGATTTGAACAGCTGCTTTAAAATTTTAAGTTTCTCGGTAATTGATAGTTTAACATACTGTTCAGCAACTGCTGGAGATTTCCAGCTCCCAAATTGATTAAAAGTAAGGAGATTGCGACTGTTTCCAAGCAATGGCCTGAGTAACATTCAGAATTCTCCAAGTTTAAAAATTTTGCATTTTTTTGTGAATTCCCACATGCACTGTTCAAAATTTCATGACTATTTTAACACCAAATTAACACCATACATGGTCTATATCGATACACACCAAAATGGTGTTAAATATGGTTCGTTGGTCCAGTGTAAATTCAAATACTAAAATAGTGTAAATTGAACTTTCACACAGTATTAAAATAAATTTTACCTGGTGTAAATTAAACTCCTTTTCACTGTTAAATATTACGTGTTTTTGGTCAAATTAAATCATACTACATAGAAAAAAAGGAAAAAAAAGGAAACAGGAAGTTCCTTGACGCATTACTAGTATATTACCAGTGGTATTTTTCCAGAAAATTGAACCTTCAACTCGCTAGAGATAATGTTTTTAGTGCGTTCCACCAACTTAAAATACTTCAAGAATTGACAGCTGTTTCCACCTATTTAAGGTCTCTTTAGTATCGAACAACTTGTAGTGTCACACCAAAGCAAAGGAGTACCTAAGCTTATATACTCTTTATGTAAGTCAACAGAGGCGAGATTTAAGAACATCACGTGATCCACACCGCCTTTGCCGCGATCGGTACACACTATGCAACCAGAAATACACGGCAAATTGTTTTAATCGTTTTAACAGAGTGCTTTAGGTTGAAGTAACTTTTATTTTACAAACAACATATTTAGTAAACTGAACCATTGGTGGTTGGTTTCACTAAAGTTTTCTGGGTTAATTTAACCAATTTAAAAAAAATAACTATCTGGTTTAGTACCCTCAAACTAATCTTTGTTTATATTAACCTTCCCACAGTTGATTTAAATAAATACTTATGGGTCAACTAAATTAATATAGTTAAATAAAATATTCCTTTTTTTGTGTAGGTGCACTTATCAAATATTTTTAGATAAACACCGTTTTGGTGTTTGCTGTATATAACATTTTCAACGAAAATTGGTGTTTATATTAACACCACTTGGTGTTGGATTTTGACACCATTTTAAGATTTTTTTTGATAAAAATCATATTTCATCAGTTTTTGTTCATTTATTCTTTCCAATAAATGACTTAAATACCTTCTTGAAGACCAATATTTTTAGAAGGGCTATGTATACAAAATGTAACGCACTCAAAAATAAAATAAGTATGCAATCCTATTTATAAAATTTGTTGTTTAAAGTATTAAAATTTAGGACGACGTTTTGTAAGAGGATTAGAAATAACAATTGTATACAATTTTATAAATTCACTTTTATGAATTGTAACTTTCCAAACCAAATCTCTGTCTGCTTACAATGGCGTCAAGCTTTGCAAGTTGGCTGGGTGGAGCAATTATTTTTTAAACCAAGTTAAACTCGTATATGCACGAAAATTATCTGTCTGAAAGTTAAGCCCCGTGGTTTTATTTTTCTCGCTTTTACTCTGCCTTATTGCGATTTCTACTTATCTGAATGCTCCCCTGCACTGGCTTAGGTACTGGAATTTAGTCAGGCTGAAAATAAAAGTTTTAAACGATGCCTGCATAGAGTTGTAAGTAGACTGCGGTACAAAGAATGCAATATTTTCAGAGAATTTTAAACGTCATCTTCTATTTATCCGACTGATATATTTTTTAAAAATGATTACATATCTTCAAGTCAAACTTACATTGAAAGCAATCACTATTTGAACGTCCTGAAAAATTACTTTTGACATATTCTGATATTGCCCCAGAAAATATTATTGCTTTTATAAGATATGATAGGATTTACCTTGTTTTTGTAGGAATCGTGAAATAACTTTAGTGCTTTTTTAAGTTAAATCGAATACATACAGACTTAGTATTACAGAGTAGTAAGTGCGATCTACTATTAAAAATATTTGTCTATAAAAGTTTGTTTAAGCTTTTTTTATCTGAATTGAGCCAAAGTCTTTACTTTAGAAATTTAAATAATATTAACTGGACCACTGTATTACGTAAATTTATTAAAGTACGCTTCTAATTTTTAAATTCTTTTTACGTTTAATTATTTTATTTTTACATGAAAAAGAAATATGGATCCTACTCAAATAATAGTAAGTATAAATATTATGATAATTATAATATCCTAAAATTTGGATGGACAGTTTTTAATAATAATAATAAAGTAAATTGATGTATTTGACAGGATTTTAGTGAAATCGCGTACATATTAATATAATGCTTTATTTCTGCGGTAAATGGGCAAATGATTACCATTTATTAAATCATTTTCGAATATAAAACAAAAAATCATGAAGTTTGAGTGGTCACACGGCATACTTATGTCGAAAATCAAAGGAGTTGTAACAGAAAAGCAAAAACGAATCGATGATGCATTTTCAGGTATCTTCATTGTTTCGATAGATAAATATGTCGTGTTTGGGCTTGATTTTCAAGATTTTTAGGGATCTATGCAATAAAAAGGTTTTTATAAACCAATTTGAACTAACGTAAATGATTACCATTTATTAAATCATTTTTGAATAGAAAACAAAAAATCATGAAGTTTGAGTGGTTAGACGGCATACTTATGTCCAAAATCAAAGAAGTTATAACAGAAAAACAAAAACGAATCGATGATGCATTTTCGAGGTATCTTCGTTGTTTCGAGAGATAAATATGCCGTGTTTGGGCTTGATTTTCAAGATTTTTTGGGATCTGTGCAATAAAAAACCTAAATTAAACCTATTTGAATCACCTCAAATACTTACCATTTATTAAATCATTTTTAAATAGAAAACAAAAAATCATGAAGTTTGAGTGGTTAGACGGCATACTTATGTCCAAAATCAAAGAAGTTATAACAGAAAAACAAAAACGAATCGTTGATGCATTTTCAGGTATCTTCGTTGTTTCGAGAGATAAATATGCCGTGATTGGGCTTGATTTTCAAGATTTTTTGGAATATATGCAATAAAAAGGTTTTTATATGCAAAATTAAACCTATTTAAATTACTGCAAAT